TGACTCCACGAGATGTTGAAAGGTGATGCGAGGAATCTGACACCATGCCTGATGAATAGCACTGTCCAGTTCTGTGAGATTTGATGGTTGTGGAACCAGCTGCCTAATGGCTCTTTTAACTTCGTCCCACAAATGCTCAATTGGATTGAGATCTGGTGATTGTGGGGTTACCTAAGCAAGGTAAAGTCTCCCTCATGCTCTTGAAACCACTCCTACACAATACGAGCACCATGGCATGGTGCATTGTCTTGTTGGAAGAAGCCATCTCCATTGGGATACGCCATCAATATGATAGGATGAACTTGATCAGCAACGATACTTAGGTATGTTGTGCTATTCAGACGGTGTTCCACTCGAATTAAAGGGCCCAAATCATGCCAGTAAAACATGCCCCGAACCATAACACTGCCCCCCCCAGCTTGAAGGGTTGTACTCATGCATGTGGGGTGCATGCTTTCATGCTGTTTCCACCAAATTCTCTGCCATCTGCATGATGCAACTGGAAACGTGATTCATCGGACCACATGACTTTTTTCTAATGCTCAACTGTCTAATCCTTGTGTTCCTGTGCGAATTGGAGACATTTTATCTTGGTAACTGCAGACAGCAAAGGTGTTCGAACAGGCCTTCGGCTTCCATATCCCATAAGATGCAGTGTACGGCTAATTTGCCTACAAACATCAGGTGGTCAAAATAATCTGGCCACTCAGTGTAGATGGCCAGTGTTCTTCCTCAAAGGGAACCAATGAGGCGCATGTCACTGATCTTGACCCCTGTGGACCTAGTCAACCAAGGTCAGCCTCGAGTGTGGGCGCATCTGAACTGCCCTCTTTCTGGTTAACCAAGGGGAATCCCTGAATCTGCTTGCTGAGGGGGTCACCGCATAGAATCTCCGCCTCTTGCAGTGAGAGGAAACCTTGGGGCGATTGTCTTCAGAACATGGAAAATAGCTGCATTTTCTTCTTCCTTTTTCTCCCCTCTAGTGATTGTGGGCTAATTGGATGCATATTGTTGCAAGAACCTATTTCTTAACAATTTAAACATCTCATAGTGGTGTGTGATGAACTGTGTAAAGAATTGCTTTCTGACAGTAAAGGACTCTCTTTCTCATTTATGTTCTCCCCCGATATGTCAATCCCACATGTGCCTCGTTCCGGGGTTCGTGCTGAGGCGACAGATAGGACGTCTAACCCCTGCACATACATTGCTCATCAGGAGTCCAGTGGGAGAACCCTAAGCCAGCTAACGTGTCAGCTCTTCTGTGACTTTCTTCTTTATTCCTAGTATGACTGCCTGGCTCTGCTACTTCCTAGCTGTGAGGTCATGCAGGTTATCTAACTTCTTTGTTGTGACTCGTTGGTCTCATCTATAAAATGGGGATGAAAATAGAATCTGTTTTAAGGGATTGTCGTGAGGATTAAGGGAGTAAAGCACTGAAATGAGCTACGCCTGCCACATGGTAAGCTCTCAGTAAATATTAACATCATCATCGCATCCCAGAGGAGGTGCAATGTTCTGGAAAATTCACACCAAGTCATCTGCATGGAATTTAACATCCACAGAGCTATTTACTGGTGATGCTCTCAGAACCCTCCCATCAGAATCGTAGTTTGTATGTAACAACCTCTAGCCCACACACTTGCTTTCTCCATATGAAAATGTTTCTGCACAGAGTAAAGCCCACAGAGTGGCTGTGGAACGGTAGTATTTGCTTTAGGTGGTCCAGACACGGTGCTTTCCTTATTGTACGTGAAGGACACGAGGAGGTATGACTCAGCAGTTATTAAGCCTCTGTTGTGTCCGAAGTGCTGTGCTCTGTGCTCGGGGTTCAGCCTTGAACGGAAACCCTCTAGGACAGTGGTTCTCAACCTTCCTAATGCCGACCACGGAGCCGCTGACTTCCCTTTCCAACCCCAAATGTTCGTCTGTGACTCCCTCCACCACCGCCCGCCCCTTTTAGCTTCTGTTAAAACCCAGAACACCGGCCAGTGTCCCATAAAGCTCTTTGCGACCCTGAATGCTAAATGATTGCCTGGCAGTGGGCGCGTCACTGGATGCCTTTCAGAGTTGAGAGGATCCTATTGTTGGTATGTTTATTAATTATGATCATTTTCATAAAAACTGGGGCGGGGGGTCATTAAAATCGTCACTCTTCTATGCCAGGGTGCCTTCCTCTGAGTCCGTCCTAAAGAAGTATGTCTTTTCTGAGAATCATTTATTTATGGAAAATCGCTTCTGAGTATGAGTTGGGAAGCACAGCTTTTCTCTGTAATACGCTCTTTTCACAATTTCTAGTGGTTTTATGGGGAAACGGAGAGCAGTGATGATGTGGAAGCTCTAACCATCAGGAAATTCCGAGGGGACCTGGCCTACAGACGGCAGGAGTATCAGGTAGAATTCCACATGTATGAGGTCGCGCTACTTGAAATGGGCTCTTGTTCCATAAGTTAGGGCATAGTTCAACAACAGGCTAAGTTAGGAGTGTTGTTTGTGAAGATGAGTTTAATCTTCTGCGATATGTGTTTGTAATCTTAGAATCCCAAGTCTCTGTCCTTTTCTTTTTTTAATAATTCTTTATTGTTGAAGTATTACTTATGTACCTTTTTCCCCTCCATTGACCCCCCCCCTACTCCCACCCCAGGCCTTCAGCACCCTATTGTCTATGTCCATGGTCTGTTTGTTTTTCTTTAAAATATATTTTTATTGATTTCAGAGAGGAAGGGAGAGGGAGAGATAGAAACATCCATGATGGGAGAGAATCATTGATCAGCTGCCTCCTGCACACCCCTTACTGGGGATCAAGCCCTCAACCAGGCATGTGCCCTTGACTGGAATCCAACCCGAGACCCTGCAGTCCGCAGGCCAACGCTCTATCCACTGAGCTAAACCAGCTAGGGCTGGTCTGTCCTTTTCTATGAGGTTCTATATAATTTGTTTTGTTTCTTGTAACTCCAGTATAGGAATCTTTTGGGGATCCTTGTAATTCGGATTCCCCAGGCTCTGTATCTCCTCATTATGCAGGAGCCTCTATCACAGACACCTGCTAGTGCCCCAGAAGCAAAGCACCCCAAAGTGTGTAAGAAAAGGGAGAAACTAACAGCTAGGTACCAGCTTTACATGTAGATCGCATTTCATCTTCATAAGAGTCCTGTTGTTAATTTGCCGATGAAAAGGTTATATAACAAGTTAGTGGCAGAACCAACATTCAAACCCTGGTCTATTTGGCTCCAGAATGTTCTTGCTACTATACTATGATGTTTCCCACGGTAGTAGTGATTTTATCCTCCAGCCATTTATGTTCTGCCTTTTAGAAGAATACTACTGACTGACATCCTCAGTTCTCCCTTAGTTCATGGTTGGGGTCAGTTATGACATTACCTTCTGCCTAGGGAAAAAATCGTCCCCGTAACTGAGTCCTTTCTTCTGTGTTTCCCGCCTTTCTTTTCATCCCTTCTCTTCATTTCCTCAACTGAACAAATAATTGCCAGAAAGCACTGCAGGAATATTCCAGTATCTCTGAGAAATTACCACCTACAAATGTCGCCATGAAAAGGGATGTCCAGGAAGGCCAGGCTCGGTGTCTGGCTCACCTGGGAAGGCATGCAGAAGCACTGGCGATTGCGACGAACTTGGTGAGTGGTCTCATTGCTTTTCTCACTTGTTTCCCTAAGGTGGTTGAATATTTTCTGGAAAACAAAACAAAACAAAAACCAGCTTCTTGCTCACAGCAAGGTCTGTGAATTCGGAGGAGCAGAGGAAAATCGCTAATGGTGTAAGAACTGTATGATGGTGAACATTTTGGAGCTCTGGACATAATCATTTTCTTGTCATGTTTTTTCTTGATTATGATAAAACTTCTTCATTGCCTGAAAATCTCATTTGATGGAAGGATTATCAGTGATCTGTTTCCTTCTTTAGGTTTTATTTTTCAAAATTTCTACAATGAACATGTATTACTTTTGTAAAGGGGCGGGGGGGGGGGGGGGGGGGGAGTTACCAAAAAATGACTAAAGATCATACTACGCCAAGCTTTAATAATCCGTTTTTTTTAGCTTTGTGCAGTGGCAGTATCGTAGCCAATGAGGTTTATCCGAGGCGTGATTATTGCTAATTGGGAAAAAAAAATCATTTTTTTCTTAAATGGAATTTGCAGAATTTTTTTAAGGGATAAAGAAAAGCAACTCTTTGCAATTCTATATTCTGTTTGTTTTTGTCTTCAGGTTAAGGTATCTATGGTTTACTTCTGGTTATTTGTGTAAATTTTATAGGGGGTTGGTCTCAAGTAAACAGTCCTAGTTTATACACTGAGTGGCCATATTATTATGACCACCTGATGTTTGTAGGCAAATTAGCTATAATTTCGAGCTGAAGTTGCTAGAGGGCCAGACCATTATAAATAG